TTAGGTAAAATTCTATTAAAATTAATATTTAATTCATCAGAACATATCTTATGCCCTAGTAATAACAGCTACAATGTTAATAATACATTTAAAATTCTTACTGTACCAAGCAAGTTACTTACAAACAAGTTACAAGCAAGTTTACACAACTCCACAAAAGAGGCACTAATATTATTTCTTGTTTTATTTATGGGTTATGAATAGGTTCAGAGAAGTTCAATAACTTGCCTAATCCAGGAAGTATTGGTGCCAGGATTTGAGCCTAGTTTGCTTAAATCCCCAAATCCAGTGCTTATAACTCCTCACTTGGGGTTCTAGATACCTGTAGCAGTTGGTCTGGGTTATTATTCACATGCCACAGCAAATGTCCAGTCTAAATTAATTTGGTTCAAGAAACTTCCTGGGCCGGGTGTGGTGGCTCATACCAGTAATCCCAGCACTTTGGGATGCTGAGGCAGAAGAATTGCTTGAGCTAAGAGTCCAAGACCAACCTGGGTAACATAGTGAGACGCCCCGTCTCAAAAAAAAAAAATTAGCTGGGCATGGTGGCATATGCCTATAGTCCCAGCTACTCAGGAGCCTGAGGTGAGGTGATCTCTTGCGCTCAGGAGGTCAAGGCTGCAGTGAGCCATGATTGCACCACTGCACTCCAGCCTGGGTGACAGAGCGAGACCCTGCCTCAAAAAGAAGAGCAACTTCCTTATCATCTGTTTATGTAGTTGAAAGGTTCTGACTTGATGGCTATGAGTCATTGCTGGGAGAGCCCACAGAATGATTAATATAAAGCTGAGCCCTCTAAGTTTCAGAGAATTTAAAAGTTAAGGATAATGCATCATTATTCCATTGGAATTTTAAAGATAACAGGTCATAATAATAACAGGCAATAATAATCACTGTGACTTCTAATGCTCAAAAATGTGAGTGCTAAATCTCCCTGCCTCTTCTTTTGCCTTTCCTTTTCTTTGAATATTGTTGGCTTACACTCTCCATAAACTCACTTTCGTGTCTCTTAATATCCTCTCACTGACAGTATTTCTTTCCTTTCTTGTTGCTTTCAATTGGTCTATTTCCTTTGATCCAGAGGAGATTTTAAACTTGGAGTCCATGGGACCTAACCATTTCTTGAGTTGGCCTCAGAGGAGCCATTGAAACCCTGGAAATTGTTTGTAACTTTTTTTTAGTATGCACATATATGAATTTTTCTAGTGAGCTGTATTATAGCTTCAATTAATTTTCTATCAGAGAATAAGATATTTTAGAGACCACCATCTCAACAGGCAAATTTAAAATATATTCACTAACAATTATTTGTTGCACTTTTTCTCTCAGCCAATGGGCTGTAAATCAAGGCTTTTAGAACTTTAATGTGCATATCCCACACCTGGAAATCTTGTAAGAAATGAATATTTTCCTTCAGTATGTATGGTTGCTCAATATTGTGCATGTCTAACAAGCTCCCACATGGTCCTGATGTTGCTGATTCCTAAGGGCATACTTTAAACAGGAAGTCTAAAAGATACACACAAAAACAAATAAATAAAAATAATGGTCCTTGTCTTCAAAGAGCTTACTATTTATATGGAAAAACATTTTTTGGCATACATACTCTATTTAACCTTTATAATAATGTATCTTTTACACTTAACCAGACAGTGGTGTAGTGAATAAAGTCTCAAACAAATAAATATTTTTATTTTTTAAATTTTTGAATCAAATGGAAAAAATAAATATTTTTAAATGTGAGTGTAAACTAAATGTTAACTTACGTAAGATTGGGGCTCAAAGAAGACAGATTATCAGGCAATGTTTTCTATAAAAGAAAACAAAACACAAAGAAAAAAGACCGAAATCAATGGAGCTATTTATTACATTCTTAACTGATATTTCCTGATCTGAGAAAGTCCATATATTCAACATTTATTTCACTCTAAATAGTGGAGATACCAATTACATTAACTTTTGATTTATGTTTTACTGGTCGTGATGGACTAACGACTATAACAAGCAACTCCAACATTTCAGTGAATTCATATGGAGTTTATTGTCATTCAGATCACAGTTCACGGTCTAATAATATATTGGGTGGAGGAGATGGGATCTGTCCCATGCAGTCATTTAGGAATCTAGGTTCCTTCCATTGTGTGATATTATGATTGTTACATTTTGGCCTCCCAGGTTCTTATAGAGAGGAATAGCAGAGAGGAGAAGCCAATAGGAAGCCAAGAAATATTATTCGGATTATGTATGTTGATGACATTAGTACTCTCTGCCATAGTATTTTTTCGCTAATTGATTAGGAATTTAGTTAGAAAAAAAATTCTTCATCTAATTAAGGGAGCATTAGCAAGTACAACAGCCTGTAAACTCTGCCACGAAGAGCCTTGTCTGTTTTGGTTGCTTATAGCACCTCTAATTATAGCACAGTGGCTGTCACCTCGTAGATGACCACTGAATATTTGTGGACTGACTTAATGTTCAGAAATCCCTTAAATAAATAGTTCTACCTGCTCTCATAGTATGTGCAGATTGAAGCTTGGAAGATTATAAGGTATTAAAATGGTCCTAGATGGTCTGGTTAATAAGACTTCAGAATAAATAAAAGACATTGGTCAGGCATGGTGGCGCATGCCTGTAATCCTAGCACTTTGGGAGGCTGAGGGTGGTGGATCACGAGGTCAGGAGTTCAAGAACAGCCTGGCCAATATGGTGAGACTCCATCTCTACTAAAAATACAAAAAATTAGCTGGGCGTGGTGGTGTGCACCTGTAGTCCCAACTGCTTGGGAGGCTGAGGCAGGAGAATTGCTTGAACCTGGGAGGCAGAGGTTGCAGTGAGCCGAGATCATGCCACTGCTCTCCAGCCTGGGCAACAGAGCAAGACTTCATCTAAAAAAAAAAAAAAAAGACATAAAGCTCCGGGGTGATTTAGTTAGATCTGAGCATGACCACATAACTCCAAATCCACACCTGCTAACAAGCAAAAAACAACTTAAATTCAGCTCAACTGTTTTCCTTGAATGCTAATCCAGATTAGTGCCCCACTTTTACTTAATATTCAACTTTATTTTTCCTCTGCCCAGTTTCGAAGATCCCTTTTGCAGCTCCTGTGTCTCCGAATGCTGAGATGCCAGCAGCCTGCTAAAGACCTACCAACAGCTGGGAGTGAAATGCAGATCAGACCCATTGTGATGTCACAGAAAGATGGGGACAGGCCAAAGAAAAAAGTGACTTTTAACTCTTCTTCCATCATTTTTATCATCACCAGTGATGAATCACTGTCAGTTGACGACAGTGACAAAACCAATGGATCCAAAGTTGATGTAATCCAGGTTCGTCCTTTGTAGGAATGAAGAAGGGCAATGAAAGATGGGGCCTTACATTGGATGCCGCTTTTAGACTTCCATCATAAGAAGTGTTCTGGAATCCCCATTCTATGTAATAGCAACAGAACTTTGTGGCCCAGCAGGAAATCTGAATTGCCCACATGCTCTTGGGCCTCAGGAAGAGGTTGAACAAAAATAAATTCTTTTAATTCAACGGGTGCTTTACATAATGAAAAACCACTTGTGGCACATGTTGGGCATCTAGCATCATCATCTTCTAATGTGTTGGAGATTTTCATTTCAAATATATTTTTTAAATTACTATATTTTGCAAAACATGTAATACATTTTTCTTGAAAATACCTTACTGTAAAAATAACTGTCACATACACATGTGTGAAGTAGCTAGAACATATTGCATTTTTTTTGTACTGTTGGGCTCTATTCATTATCATGTCCTATGTCTGATCAAATTATCAAGGAGATAATTCTAGAATGAAAAAGAAAGTTCTCTTATTGGAAACAAAAGACCTTTTATAGATATAGTACGACAAGCAGGAGTTTCAGAGACAACTTTGAATCCTCATCAGCCTGGAGACCAGCACCAGAGGACTCTATGTGGCAAACTCCCGTGGATTTGCTTCCCACAATTTGCCGCGCCTACAGACTCAAAGCTCTTTTCCTGTGTTTTGTCGTTTCTCTAAAAATTTACTGTTGTTGTTGCTATATAAGCCAGGGAGTTCTAAGAAGCCAGCTCTTTGAGATTTACTCATTCCCCTGTACTTTCACCTGTATTTCCCACATACACACACACATATATATATACCTGCTAATACACTTATGTTTGTTTTTCTCATTAGTCTGTCTTTTGTTATAGGGCCCCCAGCCAAGGAACCTAAAGTGGGTATAAGGAAAAATTATTATTTTTTCCCTACAAACTAAACATGGATTATTAGAACTCAAGGAGTTCATTGATAATATAGAAAAGAAACACTGAATCATTTTATTTTCTTGCCCAGTTTTTACTTCTTAGATGACTCTAGTGTTGCATCTTCATAATTAATCATGTTTGAAGGACTTCTAGGTGACTTAGCAACCTGCTAAAGAAGGAAGAACCAAAGAAAAGTTTTCACTAAATGTGCTTTTAGAAATCGAGCATATTGCTGGTTCTGCCGCAGTACGTAGTCCAAGAATGAATTACTAAATTGCTTCTGAGGCTCTGAAGTGGAATAAAATAATGGCTTTGTATTTCTATGAAAGTTGTCTCCCTTTGTTTCCTTTCCACTCTCTTGCATATGTAAGACATTTAATTTATGAATAAAACCCTTTCCTGTCCCTTACTCAGTATGATATTAATAGCCTTTTTCTTATCTCTACAGAATAATTCTGGGCTGGCAATGGTGGCTTACACCTCTCATCCCTGCATTTTGGGAGGCTGAGTTGGGCAGATTACATGAGGCCAGGAGTTTGAGACCGGCCTGGGCAGCATGACAAGACCCTGTCTCTACTGAAAAATATCAAAAAATTAGCTAGGCATGGTAGCCCCCGCTACTTGAGAGACTCAGGTAGGAGGATTGCTTGAGCCTGGGAGGCAGAGATTGCAGTGAACCAAGATCATGCCATTATATTCCAGCCTGGAAAACAGAGTGAGACGTGATCTCTAAATAAATAAATAAATAGAGATGATAGATAGATATAGATAGAAGATGGATAGATAGATAGATGATAGATAGATAGATAGATAGATAGTAATAGTGGTAATCGAAGATGGGAGAATAAAATAAGTTCATTTTGTAAGTCTCTGGAACTCCCCTGAATTCCTGATGTACAATTTCTGGTTTTATTTAGTAAGTCTGAGCCCTGTGGTTACATAAGTTCTATTCAGGTGACAAAAAGTGCAACTAACATGCTAGGCAACTTGTGATTTTTAGTCCCAGGTGTTGAGTACATCCTGTTGTGAGTTCTATTGTGTCTTTTTAAAGAAAAGGCATGATTACTGTCTTCCCTGAGGCATCTTGGGCCTTACTTTTTGAGAAGTGAAAGATCTTAGTCACTGAACTTTTATAGTGAGAATGACTCAACCTGAGTGTTCACAACGTAGGGAAGGTGCATGTTTCAACTTTTAAAATGTGGCGGGCTCCCCTCTGGTAATTGCAATTAACATACAGAGAAATTCTATATTAAGTTTAATTATAAGCAGACCACTATCTTCCATTAGTGAATCGAATATGGCAATAGAAACTTTTTTTTTTAAATGCCGAATTTTGGTTACAGAGAAAGAAATCAAGCATTTGCTACTTCAGACCTTTCTATCACCTGCTAATGAGATTGGAAGTTTGTTCTAGGGAGCCCATGGCCTTTGCGGGGAAACATGTTTTGTGTTCCAGAAGTGAGCTATCCAGTTCCATGGTCTTCTCACGTAGTCGAGAGGTCGTCGTAACACGCAGCGCATAAGTAGGTAGGTACTGCTGATGGCTATCAGTGATCCGAAGAAAAAGAGTCCTCTGTTTATCACCTGTAAGACAGCAAGAACTCTCATTTCATTTGTCCAGAGATTAAAGTCTGGAAATAGATCTCATTTGTTAACAACAAAGGGGTAAACAATGTCCTCTTTGTTCTTTAACCTGAAACAACTTAATTGCCTGAGCAAGAGGCCAGGAATTGATAAGCTCGAGATAAAATACAGCACTGGGAACATCCCTTCCCTCTCTCCCAAGAAACTCATGAATCCAGGTGTTCTATATGAAAAAAATTAGCAGTCAGCCGTTAAAAAACCTTTGCAGTTTAGAAAAAGAGCTGTGAATTCTTAGAAGAGCACTACTGTGCTGGGACCACATGTAATTCATTCCTTCTCAGAAGCTTCCCAAAAGTCCCCATGAGAGAAGTGGTGGCCTGGTGGCCTGTGTGACTAAGCCTCACCCGAAGACTAAACACAAGCTGTGAACAGTGGCCTGAGGCTCATTCCAGCCTGGGTCAGGAGCATTCCCATGGCACTCTGGCCTATTTCTATCCCCACACTTACTGTCCTGCATTCTAACTGCCTGCTGGTCTCCTTTCCCCTTTTAGACTTTCAGCTCCTTAAGGGTGGGGACTCTGTATTATTCACCTTGTATAGATAATTCTTGATTTCTTCCCATCCATTATCCATATAGACATCTTTCTAAAATCCAGACCCGAGTCTGTTGGCCTCCCTGGGCTCCCTGTTTCTCTCAAGATAATATTCCAGGTGTTTAAAGCCCTGCTTGCCTCTCCAGCTGCCCCTCTGACCATTCTCACACACTAGTGTTGCCTTCCAGCTCCACTGAAATCCTGGCCGCTCTCACTCTGATGTGTTGCTCACATGTCTTCTGCCCTCCCCTTTCCTGGCCCAGTCCTGTTCTCCTCAGGGGCAGTTTATCCCTCTCCAGGCTACTGTCTCTATCCCCCACTAGCCTCTGAGCTTTGTGAGAGGTGTGGACTGTGTCACGTTCATCACCATGCCAGCTCAGTGCTATGCACTAAATAAAACTGTTGAATGAAAGACATTGTAAAATCCCCAAAGTGGAAGACTAGGGAATCAGAATTCCATTTAATTGGCATCTCTGGGCCAACTGCCTAATATGAATGTATTATATAGCATTCCATTGGAATAGGTGGGTCTCCTTCCTTCCTCCCTCCCTCCCTTCCTTCCTTCCCTCCTTCCTTCCTTCCTTCCTTCCTTCCTTCCTTCCTTCCTTCCTTCCTTCCTTCTTTCCTTTCTTTTCTTTCTTTCCACTCCCTCCCTCCCCCATTCATTCCTTCCTTCCTTCCTTTTTATTGAGATGGAGTCATGCTCTGTTGCCCAGGCTGGAGTGCAATGGTGTGATCTCAGCTCACTGCAACCTCTGTCTCCTAGGTTCAAGCAATTCTTCTGCCTCAGCCTCTGAAGAAGCTGGGATTACAGGCACCTACCACCACACCGGGCTATTTTTTGTATTTTTTTTTTTTTTTTTGAGACAGAGCGTTGCTCTGTTACCCAGGCTGGAGTGAAGTAGTGTGATCTTGGCTCACTACAACCTCTACCTCCCGGGTTCAAGTGATTCTCCTGCCTCAGCCTCCCAAGCAGCTGGAACTACTAATTTTTGTATTTTTAGTAGAAACAGGGTTTCACCATGTTGGCCAGGCTGGTCTTGAATTCCTGACCTTGTGATCCGCCAACCTCGGCCTCCCAAAGTGCTGGGATTACAGGCGTGAGCCTCTGCGCCCAGCCTGGAATAGGTGTTTTAAAAGTGATTCAGTTCTGTCTAATTTTACAAATTAAACTCATGAGAATATTGCACAAAGCAAAAATCAAAAACAGTACACCTTGCTAAAATAAAAAATTGAGAAACATTAGCATCAGTTTCTTTCTTGAGCTTCTGCCCTTCAAAAGCTCTCTCTCTTTACCACTTCCTCTAATGTTCAGTAAGCCCTCTTCCCTCTCTGTACTCAGGACAGTTTCTGTTTGTAAGGCAAACATTTGATGTCTGTCTCATCATTTCTGTATTTGCCTGAAATAAACATAATCATAATACTATGACATTTCAACACATCATATTAGAAAGAATAAAAAATGTAATCTGTTCTAACCTTTTTTTGCCACTGCCAACGCTGCACAGCCTCATGGTATCTTATTCTGGAAAAAGTGACCTGCAGGGAAGTTTAAAAAATAGTCTTGTGTCTTCTTTAACAGGTAAACAAAATTAAAATGAGAAAAAGTCTTAAGTCCAGACCTTACCATGGTATAAAGAGGGATGAAGGTAGACGGCATAATAGCATGAAGAAATCTCTCCATGTTCTTCTGAAAAATGAACCACCTTGAGTTGACATGTGCTCGCATCTGCAATAATGTGAGTAAAAAATGCTTTTGAACAAATACATCTATTTCCTACTGCAACTTATTATTATCCTTCATTCCCACTCATCGAGATCCCAAACACAAAGCAGTCAAATAAATTTTTGTTTCCGTAATAGTCATTCCCAATCCATTTTAGTAAATGTTAGTCATATAGGATGTTGCCTTAAAAATGTACACGAATTACATGAAACCTGCTGGGGAAGTTTTATTTTGCTCAGGGGTCAAATAGGAACTCTATTTCAGCAAAGCGTTTTTTTAAACAAATCTGCAGGTAATCTGTGAGCTCAAACATTTGACTAATTTTCTGTTGCTTCCTGGTTGGTTTGTAATATTGCTTATGGCAACAAGTAAAGCTATGCTGACCTACTCTCTATTTAGGACAGATACTGTGTCATAGCCTTCCTGTTTTAAAGGTAAGACAAGATACATTAATAAAGCTTCTAGTATCTTATAGAACGTCCTCCACCACATACGATGCAATTCCACTCAAGATGAAGTCCAGTTTCTTTCTTTCTGTCTTCAGGAGAGATGAAAAATAGCTGGTCACTCTGCTTTAAATTTGTCTTGTAAATCCTTTCATTTTATTATTTTAAAACTATAATATTGTGAAATCACTTATTATGAGCTTTTCATGTGACTGGTTCAAAACGGAATTAATGTGTTTTTCTTCAAAGTACTAATTGTCCTGAACATAAATTTCTTTTTGGTATCATGCATTTTTTTTAGTGCATAGGGCTTCAAAGGATAATCAATGCTACTCTAAATATGCAAGTTATAATGTTATGAGTGAAAAGGCCATTCAACATTTCTTAGATTTTCTAAATATGTTAACCCATCTGAAAGTTGTATTTTCATTAAATTAACATATTGCCTATGACATATTGACTAAATGTCTAAGATACAAGCATGTGAATTATCAGAGGCTTTGTTACTTCCTAAACGTCCTTAAAGTGTAGATGGAAATAATGTGTGTGGGTCATTGCCACTGGCCACCGAGTAACAATCCACCCAAGTGTAAGGAATGCTCTGTGTGTGTGTGTGTGTGTGTGTCTTCATTCTTGTCTGTACATATTCTTATATAGTATGCATGAGATGGGGGCTGACGCAAAGAAAAAGAAAAGAACATTTGTTAGAATATCAGTGAACCATCTCACGAAATAAAGCCAAATCTTCTCACTCACCTCTATGTAATTGTACATGGATAGGTCTGAAATTGCATGATCATCTGGGATTCTCAATCTTGAGAATGCAGGAAGACACAAACCTATAAGTAAAATAATACATCTTTCCAAAACCTTCTATAAACATGTGCTGAACTCTGCACAGGTCAAATTAAATGATCGATTCACTACCAACGCTCTCGATAATTTTTTTAAACTATGAATGACATTCTGTATAACCAACAATCTGACTATTGATAATACACGTAGAGCACCTCCTGTTGTGATTAAATAAAAATTACAACAAAGTGAATCTATACTATTGTTTCATCTTCGTGCTCTGGTGCCCCAAATCAGCATTGACAGTTCGTTCTGACACATAAACCCTCCATCCACCTCCATCACCACGTGCAAACCAGTCACACCAGCACTAGGAAGGGAGGAAACGAAATATCCCTGACTCATGAGCAACTGCGAGAGATGACTGGGAAATAACAAAAAAAGCAAACATGAAAAATTTGTCCTGGAACCCTATAATCTCTTCAGACCCAGGTCTGGAGTCTGAAGAGTCCTAATCGTTCAATCTTCACAACTCTGAAGTTGAGAGTATTATCCCCACTTTATAGATGAAAAAGAACTGAGACTTTAGAAAGATTAAGTGATTTGCTCAAGATCACACAGTTAATAAGTTGGCAAGTCAGGACTTGAAACTGGCTGTAAGTTTAAGGCCAGTTCTCTAGTCGATCCTTCACCTGAAACAAGTGTAAATTCAGAGGGGGCTTTGAAAGCATGTGATGCTGGGAAGCAGGAAAAGGTTATCCAGTTCTTAGGCTATTGTTTGCACCTCCTTTTTTCTATGTAATATACAAACCCTCTATCCACCTTCATCATTATTTGCAAACCAATCACACAAGGGCTAGGAAGGAAGGGAGGGAACAAAATGCCTCTGGCTCCTGAACATCTGGGAGAGATGACTGGGACATGAAAAACAAAGAAGAAATTTCTGCCTCGCATGGTGGCTCACGCCTATAATCCCAGCACTTTGGGATGCTGAGGCGGTGGATCACTTTAGGTCAGGAGTTCAAGACCAGCCTGGCCAATATGATGAAACCCTGTCTCTACTAAAAATGCAAAAATTAGCCAGCTGTGGTGTGGTATATGCCTATAATCCCAGCTACTCTGGAGGCTGAGGCAGGAGAATTGCTTGAACCCAGGAGGTGGAAGTTGCAGTGAGCTGAGACTGCACCATTGCACTCCAGCCTGGGCAACTGGAGTGACTCCATCTCAAACAACAACAATAACAACAACAGAAAACAAAAAAGAAGAAATTTGCCCTGGAATGCCATGGAATGCTATAATCTCTTCAGACCCAGGCATTAGGCATACTATGTATATATATAGTATATATATATCTATATATATATAGCATATATATAGAGAGAGAGAGCATATATATATAGCATATATATATACATATATGCTATATATATATACTATATATACACATAATATATGTAATTGTACACATTTAATTTAAATTAATTCCAGAATTATATATAAATACTCAAAAGTTCAATATCTGTAAAATTAATGTATTGGCTGAATCAGTTTTAATCAAAAGGCACATGAACTATCAGATGCAATCTTTGATAGGGCAAAAAGCAGGAGAACACTGGCGCTTCTAAGGGTGTTTCTGAGGATGTGCTGTAGGGTAGATGTCCCCAGCCCTCGGACCATGGCCTGTTAGGAACCGGGCCGTACAGCAGGAGGTGAGCAGCAGGTGAGTGAGTGTTACCACCTGAGTACTGCTTCCTGTCAGGTCAGCAGTGACATTAAGTTCTCATAGGAGTGTGAACCCTACTGTGAACTGTACATGCAAGGGATGTAGCTTGCATGCTTCTTATGAGAATCGAACTAATGCCTGATGATCAGAGCTGGAACAGTTTCATCCTGAAACCATCTCCCCCACAACCCCCGTCTGTGGAAAAATTGTCTTCCATGAAACCCGTCCCTGCTGCCAAGTTTTGCTGGGGACTGCCGCCAGGGAATGCAGGCAGAGGGTGTTACCTAGGCCGAAGGGGAGGGAAAGCAGCATATCTCTGCCAAGCACTGGTTCTCTGAGCTTTTGTCTTTGAGTGAATCACTTCATGGACCTCCACATATAAACTCCAAAAGAAACTATGTCTCTTTTTCTGGATGTTAGTTATTGATAGACTGTTAGTAGAAAAATGTATAATCCTGGGCAGATAATGTACATTACACATGACAGGTTTGTGATCATTGAGGATCAGAAATAAGTCCACGATTAGTCAGAAGAGCTAGTCCATGTCTAATTGAGAAATTGACCTTACTTACTAAGATCATTATTCAATTTATCCATTAATTCATCAAATACCAAGCAGTCTTCAAAGCCCTGAAACAAGAAAAAAAAAAAGGGAAATAAGAAACTAGAAATATTTTTAAAAACTTATTACCGATTTTGAACAGAACTTCCATTGGTGAAGATAATCCATAGACTGTTTATCCTCAACTAGTACATAGCAGTTGAGTTGTCACATGGTATTGAATTATGGTTAAAAATGGCCATTGGGGCCGGGCGCGGTGGCTCACGCCTGTAATCCCAGCACTTTGGGAGGCCGAGGCGGGTGGATCACAAGGTCAAGAGATCGAGACCATCCTGGTCAACACGGTGAAACCCCATCT